TCCTTCACTTAATTGAACACTACAAACAGTGGTAACTGCATCTAACTTCAACAACAAACAAATAAAAGTTTACTTTAAAATCTTCAGGTAAAACACACTGTCCATATTTACCGTGCAGTAATCTAGGGTAAAATAACTAAGAATTCCAGTACCCTTGAAAAGTTTCAAAACAGCAGCAAGATATAGTAGGAACAAGATATTCCTTTATGACAAAGAAAAAATGTTCTTTCTACAACACTATCATCTGCTTTAATGACACACATTAACTTGGGATGGTATGAACTCAAAACATGTGCCTGAATTCTTAGAAGAGTTCAGAAATTCTCCACTGACAATCTAAAAAAGCTACCAGTTTATCTCCCAGAAGAACCATCTGATCCACAGAAGACATCTAATTTTGGTGAACTAAAGGTGTGCTCCCTACCCTCCCACCGAGTAATTAACAAAAAGCATGCAACCCCCAACTTCTGGAGCACAAGTTGGCTTTTTAAATCATCTATTTGAACCTCAGAACTTTCTTTCCCAGGAAACAAAGGTCTATGTGCCAGGTTTCCAAGCCAACCCACAAAAACTTAAACACCCATAAGGTTACAGAAGTATAATAAATTACCGAACCTATAGGAAAACCCATTTAGCATTTAACTTTGAATAAAAGCAACTACCCCTGCCCCACTCAGTCCTGGAAGTAGAATTCTTCCCTCCCCCAACTGGGAGTCTGGACTCCCCTAGGACTAAAGGCCCAGGCTTCCATGATCAAAGCAGAGCACAAGGAAAGGCATGAAGGAGGTTGATTGGCAGGGCATTAGACCTCAGGGTTAGGACAAAAAGTGCTGCATTGGGAGGAGATCCTGGGATAAGGAAGGCAAGACCTACTTGGGAGAGAGGGCTGAAGGGTGGGATAGCAGCTAAAAGGAACAAGTAAAAAGTGTGGGGTTTGGGGTGGGCTGCAAAAGAGGACAAGAGAACAGTGCCTGCTCCTGGAGCAGATGGGCTTTTAAAAACTTTCCTCTTTAACACTTAGGAGAGGGAAGGAAAAGAAAAAGAGAAACCATAGCAGTGTCAAGGCCCTTCCTCCCTCACTCTGGCCACTCTTTCTCCTTTCAAGAAAAAAATGGAAACATGGCCAGGGAGGTCAGTTGGTTAGACGGTTGTCCCAATACACCAAGGTTGTGGGTTCGATCCCCAGTCGGGGCATATATAAGAGTCAACCGATGAAAGCAGAAATAGGTGGAGCAGCAAGTCAATGTTTCTCTCTCCTGTCTCTCATCAGTAAGTTAAAAAAATAACAAAGTGGGTTATGGGGTCTTGTCCAGGTCTCCAACTCCTCGAGCAGAGTGAATTGAAGGGAAGAGGACTTTAAGTTTTGTTGCCCTCCTTGTCAATATCCACTCTGACAAAGACTTCATTTTGTCAACTGAGAACTATAGGAAGGCTCCATGCACCAGCAGTAACAGTCAGAAAGAGAGGAAGGAAAGTAAGAAGAGAAATCTGAAGCAGGAAGGAAGTGGGATGTTGCAGGATTGAACAAATTAATAGACCTACCAATGAATTAAACTATAATAAATATTCTTAAGTATTTAGGATTAATTCATTTTGACAGTTCCAAATATTTCATCAGCTCCATTTCACTCTTGGACAAATGAATATTGGTGGCCATGAGGTTTATTATGCAGAAGGTATGAAAATAAGCTTCTAAAAACATTGGAGACAATTTCCTGGTGTCTTTTATTTATATAGAGGCAATATAACTCATTTCAGAAAGGCTTTATTTACTTGAAGAGTACTCACATTATCATTTGTCGATTTTTTCACTCCAATAGCCCAAATACAATGAGTAATTACCTTCACAAATAAGGAAGTGTATTTAACTCTTTCTTGGGAGTCTGCCTCTAATGAAAATCTTGCTCATTCAGACCAAATATTGCCCATCAGGATTCCAAGGTTTTATTTCAAGCAAAGCTCCAAACTTCATATATCACGAACACGCAGACACATCCTGAGGAACTCAGGACTTCTTTTCCCTCTGCCTCTAATGCCCGTGTTTCTGAGAGAGGGCTATTTAACTAAAGACCTCCAATTTACTTCTTAAAAGATGGAGCAGCAAATCCCAACTTCCATAACTTCTCCTGAAATTCCAGCCAGGGATAATTAATTTGACAAGTAAATCTAATCAAAGGACCCGCAAAGGATGAGTGCCAGCTAGCATCCCTTTAAAAAAAAATTTTAGCAGCTACTCTTCCAGTTGAACTCTCTTAAACAGAGATAATGACTGGGACGGCAGGCTCAGCAGAACATCAAAGATGCAAGAGCAGAGACCAATGGGGGATAAAAGTAACCAATGGCCGTGGCACTAGCAAGATGTTCCTGCTGTTTCACTTCATCTAAGATACTGCTTGGAATCTCGAAGGTCTTTTACTCCCTAGCTCCACAGAAGATTATGCTGGATCCCAGAATAGCTACTGTGTTTTCTGTAAACCACACACTAGGTCCAAAACTTCTGCACTAAATGAAAGAGAAGAAAAACAGTATCTGTTATCAAGGACTCCACTTGGAGGTCGGTGTATGTACTAGTATACCTCCAAGATATGATAAAGCAAATTCAAACCCCTATAAATAGTTGGTATTTTATTTTAATAATATTATTTGAAAAACTATTCAGGATCAGAACAAACAAAACATTTAAAGTACATTGGGCATGCTGAAACTGGAGACAAAGATAGTGAACACTATCTTTCAGATAGGTCACTTCGGCTACTAGGAAATCTTACTAATCAGCGGACCTGCTAAAATGTTACCTCTGGCTAGAAAATGAAGACATCTGGGGGGAAAAAACTTAAGATTATCTTCAGCCAAGAACAGTGAAAGCTTTCAAGATTAGCAACAGAATTGAAAGGTCTCTTTGTGACAAAAATTTCCACTTTCATAAAATTTGTATCAGTCAGCACATACACTTATGCAGAGCATAGTAGAAAAAACACATTCTAGAATCAGACACACATAAGTTCTAGCTCTGCAATTTACCAGCTATATCACCTCCTCAGGAAAGATATTGAAGAATACTGTACAACAGGGATAACGTTATCTTTGGCACAGGGTAGCTATGAGGATTAAATACAAAAGTACATAATTCACCAAGCCCAGTGCCTGAATACAATCAATGTTAATTCCCTTTGTTCCAACACAAACTGTACAGTGTGGTATCTATAACTGAGAAGACTATCAAATATGTGAAAGAAAATTCAGAGTGACAGAATATAGATTACATTCCTATATTCTGCCCAATGTAAAGATGAAGATCACATATTTAATATTTACCTTCACTAAAGTTTTTCCCTTGGTTAAGCCATAGGCAAATGGGTGAGGGGGAGAGCTCAAGGCGAAAAACTTCATATCATACACTGATTTAATATTATGCTTGCAATCTTCCAGTGTTCATAAAAAACATCATCACAAAATATACCATGAGTAATGATACCCTTTAAAATTTAATACTGTGAAAAAGTAAACTCTCATCTCAAAAGCCCTTTTTTGATCTAAATGTTTTTCTTCTTACAAATGTCTTGTAAAGCATTTGCAAAGAAAAAAAGTAAATCCCCTTATACTTTCAAAATAAAAAGTGTGCAAAAGGAGCTTTTCAAATTGTCAAATTGTTTTTCCCCATTCAGTCTTGTTTTTACAAACCAGAAATAAATACATCACATGCCAAAAGTATTGTCTGTTTGACAAACGTCACGGAAGAACACACGGAATTGACAAGCCCTGTCTGGACCAAAGGTGACAAGTTTTCTTGAGCAATTCTCAAAAAATTACGTTTCAGTAAGGACAAATGCTTTTCATCAACAGTATGAACCTTTATATGCAGCTTACTTTATAACCCAACTTGTCCCCCATGCCACCCCTCAAAATCCTGCTTTTATGAACTTTAATGAGCACTAAACTATAGAACTCCAGTGATAATAACTCTAATCTGTTGGCCCTCAGAGGACTCCTCATGTGATCTTTAAATGAACATAGAGTAGACCATGTTTTCCCTTACTCTACACCTGCCCACAATCATTTGCAAACCTCTTTCAGAACAATTACTACTAACCTTACCCGCGATCTCAACAACTCCAACCTTGGTGCGTTTGTTCTCATCTCATCCCCAAACGCTCCGCTGGGGCTTCAAAGTCCAGGGTCCAGCGTGGAAGGACATCATCCCCTCCGTTCGGGGGCCAGGGCTACCCCCGGCCCGGGCCACTCCCTCTCTCCTCGGCCGCCCGGGGCGAATGCGCCAGGCCCTGCGCAGACCTCGGCAGCCCCGCAGCCCCAGGCCGAGCCGAGCCCCGGGTCACAGGCAGTCGCGCACACGCCCACCGCCCGAACGCGGGGTCACCAGGAGGACCCCGAAGCCATCCCCGACGCCCCAGTGCGGGCAGGTGCCGGGCCTCCTCACGGACACTCACCGGGCAGCCGCTGCTCCTAGTCCGCCGCAGCCGCAGCCGCCGCCTCTCAGTCACTCCCGCCGCCTGTTCCCGCGGGGGGTCCGGGCCGGCGCTGCTTCCCCGCCCGACCCCCCCTCGGGTGTGCGCCGCGCGGAGCCCGGATACGGTGAGAGCCGCCGCCACCGCCCCCTTTCCTCCCTCCTCCCTCAGTGCGTCCCTCCCACCGAGGCCCGCCTCGTATTTCCGGGATCCGCTCTCAGCAAGAGCTTGGCGTGCGAACCGCCGGCTTCGGGTCTCCCAGCGGGCGCCGGCGCTCGCCAGGCACAAAGATGGCGCCGTCGGAGACTGCCGAGGGCGATCTCGCGAGCCTTCCCCCCAGTCACGGGAGGGCGGGGGCCACGGGAAAGGTGGTCAGTGAAGAGTAGTCGGGGCGGGCTTCTGAGCGACCGCTCGCCCTTATCGGCCAAGGGGCAGTGCTCCTCACAGCAGGTTATTGCGCGTGCGCGGGGGCAGCGGGCGGAGAACGCATGCCCAAAAAAGCCCCTTCAATAGCACCCCCAGTGCTCCGTGTCTTACCTGTTTCCTCTAGGGCGCGGAGCGGAGAAGGAGGGGGCGGAGGAACCAGAATGAAACTCCGGAAAGGGCTGGGCACGACCCGTTGGCGAAGTGAGAGGCGTCCCTTAGGGCTGGGTCATCCCTCTAGAGCCCAAAGGGCCAACACTACTTTGATGTCCCCGGGAGTTCTCCAGCCTTCTTACCCTCCCTGTCACCGAGTATGAGTATTCTTTGCAGAGTCTCAGCTGTACTTTCATCCTGTGGTCGATGCGCGTTATTTATTGAGAACTTAATATGTGCTCAGAGCTGGGCTCGCAGCTGGCAGCCACAGCCCTCCTGTTTCTCACAGCCCCATCTAACTTTCTCTTTCATTTTGGCGTTTTGTGAACCTTCCAAATCTCATACTATTAACTGCTTCTGTTCCTGTTTTATTTTTCCTCGCTCATTCATTTGTTCATTCATTCAAACGTGTGTCGTTCAGTTTCCTATATGCCAGGTGCTAAGGAAACAGATGTGCTCTGACCTCAGGGAGCTATTGGCCTGAAATGGGGATGGATGAGAAAACAAACAATGATGACAGTTCACAGTAAATTCTTTGATAAAAAAAAATGAGTGCAGGGGAATGAAGATACTGGGAGTGGGCTGTCATGAAATATGTCAAACAGAAAATTCTTAAGGGGAGTCTCACAGGCATAGGATTTACTACAGTGAATTAGGGTGCTGTCAGGAAATAAACCACCTTGATTATTTTAACAAAGAGTTTAATATAAAGAATTGATCATTAAATAACTGAAAAAGCAAGGAGAGAGCTCAATGTATTGCGAAGATAGCAACTGCAGGAGGCAGCTACTATGCCTAGAGCTTGGGGTACTAAGGGAAGAGGTAGGGATTATTATAATTTAGACATTTAGAGGACAGCCTTGTGGAGCTGAAACTCAGACCTATGAGGAGGGAGCACCATCTTATGGTGCTGGTGTCTCTGAGGGGGACTCAAGATGCTGTTTCCACTAGTGTGGGCAAACTGGATCCAATTGTTGCTATGGGAAGGAACCGCCACTGTCCTGAGAGCTTCTAATCTCCTTCCTACCTGGTGATGAGAATGACACATGTAGGGCAGAGCTGAACTTGACCCACATCTTGAAGCAGAGCAGTTTGGGTGTTAAGAGCCACTCATTTTGGAAGCTGGATGTGGTCAGGAAGGGGCCATTCACTCCTGTTGCACATCCCATACAGTGGGGACCATCATGTTAAAACATTTGTAGAAAGCCTGCTGCAAATTCAGGGTTTCATATCAAACAGAACTGCCCAGCCAACTCCCAAACCCACAGTGAGAAATAAATGTGCATTGTAATATGGCACTGAGAGTTTTGCCTATTACATGGAAAAAGAAACTTTGTTTCACAAAGTGAGCAGGAGTTAGTCTCCTGTCTTCTTGCTCCACCATCCCTAGACTGTTGTCCTAGTTTATTTGGTCCAGAAGAGCCCAGCGCCACATCACATTCCTGTCATCGAGAAGGAGAAGGCCTACCCATTTCCTTCAAGAGCACAATCCAGAAGTTGTTAACATCACTTGTGTTCACAGCCCATTGGCAAGAACTTAATCAATCACATTACTGTGTTTACCTGCAAGGGAGACTGGGGAATGTGGGCTTATTCTAAGCAGTCTTGTACCTAGCTAAAATCTTTAGAAAAAAGGTTGGGGAGACAACCAACAGTCCCATAAAATAATCAAAACTCAGAACTTGATTTAAAGTTATACCTTGTTCTCTCTCATCAGTGAGGAGTTTAAAGTTAAAGAAGCAACCCAGCCAGTGCGGCTCAGTGGTTGAACGTCAACCTATGAACCAGGAGGTTACAGTTTGATGCCAGTCCAGGGTACATGCCTGGGGTTCAGGCTCGATCCCCAGTAGGGGGCATGCAGGAGGCAGCCGATCAAATGATTCTCTCTCATCATTGATGTTTTCCCTCTAATCATTGATGTTTCTATCTCTGCCTCTTCCTTCCTCTCTGATATCAATTAAAATATATTTTTAAAAGTCAGAGAAGCAAGTATAATCCTTCTCTTTCTGTTCTATAGGCTTCTACATCTCCTTCCCCATTTTGCTAACCACAGTTTCTTCTCCAAGGATGAAGAGGGTGGGATTGGAGGTGGGCAAGATACTGCTTTACAGATGCAGTCATAAAATGCCTTTGTCGTCTCTGCACATGGCAGATGCCTAAAATTGGCTCTTTCTCTCTTGGTTTCATTTGGGGGTTCTTCTTAGGCTTCCACTGGGATGGTTTGATAGCACATCTGAGGACACAGATAATGCTCTTTCCTCTGTCTGGCCTCTCTTTCCTCAGTCCCTGGTCTCTTCTACTTTTTGATACTGCCATAAGTCCTCTTGACTGTGAATGCCTTCTATGTGACTGGCACCCAAATGCTGTCTCTCTCATGGGGTGAGCGTGATTCTTCAGCACCTTCCTCAAGGTACAGTTCTTTGATATGGACTCAACCTTTTCTAACTTCTCAGTCCCTACCTCTTGTGCAATACTCACAACTTTTTACTGCCAGGATCCCCTCACCCATTGGCAAGGCACAAGCTTATTTGCTTTCTTTGATGTTCACTTGATCCATGGGAAACTCACATGTCCTTGCCATGCTGAACAACAGACATGCCACCCTGTCTGCTGCCCCTGTCTTCATAATACTGATGGCAATAGGCAGGCAACTGTGTGTCTGCTGACTCCAGTCTCCAAACTCCAAGGATATGTGGCCAGCTCTCCCTCAAATTATCTGCCTGGGTTGGACCTATAGATAGCCTATATTCAGTAACCAAGCTAGTAGGTGTTACATCTTTTTTAAAAATACATTTTTACTGATTTTTTAGAGAGAGAGAGGAAGGGAGAGAGAGAGAAAAACATCAATTGGCTGCCTCCTGCATGCCCCCTACTGGGGATTGAGCCTGAAACCCTCCCCCCCACCCCATGTGTCCTGACAGGGAATCCAACGGGCAACATCTCGGTGCATGGGAAGACACTCAACCAATTGAGCCACATCGTCCAGGGTGAGGTGATATATCTTAAAGACATTCCTCACTCAGCTCCTGGAGGCTCCCTTCCTTGGCTTTGCCCTCCCTAGTGGGAGAGAACATCTACATTTCCTCAAAAGTGGTAAGTAATAAAATCTCCCTTCTAGTCTTTTTTTCTGGCAGAATTTTATGGTTTTATTAACACAAATGCAGTGTGCACACAAGCTGTCTATTCATATTCTTCACTGTGTAGCCTGGCATTGGGATTGGTGACTCTGATGACCAGCTGGGCTGCTCTTTGCACAATGGCTTTGCGGTTCTTTCAGGAAATGTGAGCAATCTCAGCACAGTAAGATTTGTTGCACATCAGCAGCACTTCAAGCTCCTTGACGTTGTGGACGAGTAACTTCCTAAAACCACTGGGCAGCATATGCTTTGTTTTCTTGTTGCTCCCATAACCAATTTTGAGCATCAAGATCTGGCCCTTGAATCTTCTGCTCACACTATTGTAAATGCCTCTGGGTTTCCTCCAGTTATGCTTAATTTTTTAAAAAATATGTTTTTATTGATTTTTTTTTAAAGAGAGAGGAAGGGAGAGGGATATATATAGAGAAACATTGATGAGAGAGAAACATCATCAGTCAGCTGCCTGTCCCCCTACTGGGGATTGAGTCTGTAACCCAGGCATGTGCCCTGACTGGGAATTGAACCAGGGGCCTCTTGGTTCATAGGTAGACACTCAACCACTGAGCCACACCGGCAGGGCAAGTTATTTTTAATTTTGACAGATTGGTCCGACTGGTGCCAAGTGAACTTCTTGGTCCTCTTTTTTACAATCTTGGTTTTTATGAGGGGTCTGAGGGCACCCATGATGTTGAGTAGGAGATGGCTGCCACCTCCTTAGACAGAGCTAGTCTTTTTTTTCAGGCTGGAGGAGGTATTTGGGTGATAGTCGTAGAACTGGTTTTGCTGCCTTTTGGTAAAACTCTTTTTAGAATGTGATAGAACTTTGCATTTTCTTCACCTGTATCAGATATATCTTATGTACCACTTTAGATATTTTGGGCTCACTTTTTGTATCAATAATTGATTGCCACATAATAAAGCTCTCCAAAACATCATAGTCTAAAATAATAACCATTGTATTTGTTCATTATGCAGTAGGTTAGAAATTTGGGTTCAGCTCAGCTGGACAGCTCTTCTTCTGGTCTCACCCAGAGTCACTCATGGTGACAAGAATAGAGGCTATTCATGAGACCAACAAGAACTCCCTCTTAGCAAGTCACCCCAACTCCACAGGGTATGGTCTAAAGGCTAAAAAATTAGCTGAACTTTTTAAAAAATATTTTTTATTGATTTCAGAGAGGAAGGGAAAGGGAGAGAAGATAGAAACATCAATGATGAGAGAGAATAATTGATCAACTGCCACCTGAAACCCAGGCATGTGCCCTGACCGGGAATCGAACTGTGACCTCCTGGTTCATAGGTCGATGCTCAACCATTGAGTCACTCAGGCTGGGTTAGCTGAACCTTTAATGGGCTATTTCATCAGGCTATCTGCTTCTGAGTGATGAGGTATATGATGGGATCAGTGGTTCTCATGGTCATGTGCAACTCCTTTGCAGTAACATGGGTCCATTGGATTTAGGCAATACAGTATGGGATACCACATCAATAGATGACCATTTTGGAAACTCTTCAATGGTGGTGCTGCTGGGGGAAACATGGATAGAAAAGGCAAACTCATAATGTGAATATGAATCAGTTCTGGAAAGAATGAATTGCTTCCCCACAGTCACACACACCCCATGTGGAAGGGATCCAAAGTAATCAATTTACCCAAGTGGCTGGCTGGTTTTCTTGAGAAATTATGCCATACCATGGCTCAGTGTTGGTTTCTGCAGGTGGTGGGTTGGGCCAGTAGTAGCTAATTGAACTTTGGTGAGAGGTTCAATTGTTGGGCCTAAAGGGTGATCCTGGGTTCTCCCTTCTTGTAGAACAAGCCGATGAGGAACCTTGTGGGAGATGGATTTACTTGGGCTGCTTGGTGCCAGGCAATTTGGATTTAGGGTGCTAGCTGTTTATAGGCATTGTCTGGAACTGAATGGATATTACAGTCCTCCTATAAGGGAAGGAAGTCCCATGGGAAGCTAAACTTGGGGGCAGGCCATCTCTAGATCCCTCGTTCCAGTTAGCTTTTTGCCTGTAACCTAGCATGACTTCTCTCAGAATGACTTTCAGACAAATGTGCTCTTTGT